TGAACTCTTGAGGTGCCTGATGTGAAATGTGTTAACTTAGCTCCTGGTACAGGAGACAACTTTGGATTTTCAAATGTGAAAGGAGAGCTTTTCTTTTGGAACTTTTAACCCTGCCAAGTAGGCTGGCAGGAAAGAAGAAAAGGATTCAAAAATCAGCAGAATATGACTTTCTTTTATAAAATGGGATTGCCCCTGCCCTTTCCCTCCCCACTGTCCTTTCTGCTATGACCTCAGAAGAGTGAGCAGAAATGTGCGTTTCACTTGTAGATAAAGTATCACTGATGAAAGAGCTCGGCAACCAATGGAGCCAACTGAATGGCGAAGCTCTGCTGGCTGTCACGGAGTGTATCACAGGTATGGCCTGATCAAAAAATAAGACTGGTCTCCCTAGCATTTCAGGTTTTAATCCCTCAGTAAAATCTGCCATGCAAGGAGCCTGTTGTTAGTAAATTTTTGTCTGTGTTTGATATTGTTCAGTCCAGAAAATGAGCAGAGAGCAGATTTCAATGAGAGAAAACACTTGCCTTTTGGTTACATTTCAGTCCCCTGTGTAGCATTTTTTCTTTCTCTATGCCCCTATTTCAGTGCACATTGTAAGAAAAAATGCCACTAACATTGGGAGGGGAACTGCCATTAAAACATGAAGATGCTCAAATTCCATGGCAGTGGGGTCTGGGTAATTCCCTAAGACACGCTGAGGTTTGAAACAGCTCCGTGTTGGAAGCCACAAAAGCATTCTGCCAAAGACACCAGCCAGTCACCGATGTTTCTAAGGCAGCTGTCAAGCAGCTGCCATCTCTGGTGGGCTGGAGCTTTGAAGTGTGTTCTAAAACTGCCCTTTGCTGTGTGCCACTGAGCAAAGGGGAGTCAGATAAGACTTCTGGCACTTTACATGGAAGTTACAAAATGGAATCACCCCCTTTATTAGAAATCACTCAACTGCCTCCCTGCGGTGCATTTCCAAATCTTCAGTGTGTGTTTAGACAACTTCTGAATGGAAATAAAAGGCAATTTGACATTTCATTCATTGTTCATGCAGAAACAAATTGTGAAATAATTTAGTAAAGGTACAAAGTCTGCCACAGGGACAAGGCTCTGTTTGGAGAAATTAGTCCTGAGGCATTGGTGGTTCAGTTTCAAGGATGATCAGCGGCTTTGCCCGTTTCTGGATCATGGGGCTCTGTGTGCTATTTTGCTGATCTTAGCCAGAGAGGCTTCCAAGAAGCAAAAGCAGAGGTAGACCCTTGTTTGCATGGAGGCTGGTGGGTAAGAAGCTGTGCCTCTCTCCCGGCAGTGCTTGTGGAGTGGGTTTATGCCAGGAGCCCTGAAGTCGTCGAGCGCTACGCCCTGCCCGTGCTCTGGTCCTTCCTGGAGAACAAGGCGCTGCCTGTCCGAAGCGCCAGCGTCCGCACGGTGGCCACCAGGCTTGCCTTGGCCCTCTACGAGGTGATGGGCAACAAGCTGAAGAAGTGTGCAGCCAGCAAGCCTCCACGCGTGCAGGAAAGCCTCTCTGACATTTTGGGCTGGTGAAGGTCTCATGTTCTCCGGAAAATGACAAAGTTCTGACTTGGACACCTCCGGATATGACTTTTTACATCTACCAAAAATGACAAAACACTAAGGAAGGGTGTGCATCTACCCCCGCTCTCTCCATCGCCCTTCATCATCATGAAATGGGAGCCCTGAAGCAACTCCAAACAATGACGACAATGTGAAGGCTGAGCATGGCTTAGCCTCACAAAAAGGTGAGGGGGAGCTGGGCTGCTCTCTGGTGGGAGGAAGGCTCTTGTGGCAGCCCAGAGAGCCTGTGCACATTGCCAGGGAACAGCTGTGCTCTGCATGTGCCCCTGCAATCAGCTGTGCTCTGCCAGTGCCCCTGGAGCTGTAGGGCTGCTCAGCTGTGGGGCAGGGAGAGGAGCAGGAGGGTGCATGTGCAGCTGAGCCATTCCTGGAAAGCACAGGGCTCTGGGCTCCCTGCTGTCCCAGGGCAGCCCAGAGGCCAGGCTGTTCCTGTGGCAGCCCTGTGGAAGCGGGTCAGGGTTTTCCCCGGGCCTGCTTCAAGGGGCTGCCAGCAGCAGCATGCTTCCCTGTGCAGCTCTTTAGAAGATTCCAGGAAGTCTGTCCCATGAAATCTGGAGCTCCAGATACTTTAGGCTTGCATTGCAGCCTGTGTTATATTTTGTGTCTCCACTTTGCAGGCCTGACTGGACACCCTATTGGCAAGAGGTTTTCCCTGGCAAGTCCCGCTCCACTCCTTGCCTCCAAGCCTTTGCCACCCATCCCAGACAGCTCTTCTTCCATCAAGCCAAGCAAGATGTATAATGAAGAGAAGGAGAAAAGATTGACAAGCACTGGCTACACAGATATCAGAAGAAAGAGCCAGGAGCTGAGCTCAGACGGAATAAGTTGTAAGGTAAGGAGGCCAAGATAAGTCTTGTATGGTAGATTTCCTGTTAAAGTGCTGTAGGCAGAGCTTGGAGACCTTTTCCTGTGGTGTGAGACCAGGGAAGCAGCTGAGCCAAGGAAGAGCTCTGCTGGACCCTGCACTTCAGGCTGCCTTTGCAATGGGTGTGAAGTGCAGGCTTCGTGTCCTCAGCATGTGTCAGTAACAGGAGAGGTCTTAGAATGGCTTCTGGGCTGTGTCGTGGTTCCTCCTCTGTGTTATGGTGGAGAAAACACCAACTAGCAGTCAGAGCCGCTGAAGTTGTCCACTCTGGAAGAGAAATCCTTCTCCATTTAGTATCCTACATGTATTTGTGGACTCTCTCTAAGTCTCAGATGTCAAACGTGTGGATGCCTGCTTGGAATGCGGCCACTCTTGCAGAGGAGTGAATGTGAGGAGAGAGGTGTCAAATATGTGACATGGTCTCTGCCTCAGCAGTTCCCTTTGCATTTCCCATCCTGGGCCAAGCTGCTCCATGAGTTTGACTGTTGTTTCCTTCCGTGTGCCAGTTGAAAACATATCTAAATGTCTTGGAGCATGAATCAGGGCAAGGCTGGATGCTTGATCTGAGCACTGTGTTCTAATCTTTCCAGGCAACCTTGGTGAATTCCACTGAAGGGGGTTTGAAGAAGAGGTCACTGGGACCACCTTTGATCCCCCCAATACCCAAGACAGGAAGTCTCCCTGTTGGCAGTGCTGCAGGGTCTCTGCGAAACTCTGTCCAGATGGATTTCCAGGAGTCCCAGGAGATGAGGTAAGCCAAGGTGTCTGCTGCTCCAGGGTGCTGTTCACATCTCCCTTTTCATTTTAGGAAATGATTTTCCAAAGTGTCCCATGTATTTAGGCAGACCCCTCTGTGTATTCAGCATTTTGCCCACCTATGAAGGGCCAGCACAATGTCAAACCCAACACCAATGGCCCCAGAGCAGAGGTGGTGGTGGGGAAGAGGAGGCAGGGCTTCAAAGCACCGCAGGACAGTCCCTCTACTGGGCTTGGCTACAGATTCCCTCTGTAATGTTTGTGCTGCCTTTTGGAAGTGTTTTGCATGGGTCTAGATCCTGCAGGCCTTTGAATGTTGTGATCTGTGAGTGTTACATTCTCCTCCCATGAGAATAGGCTTGGGCAAGTATTGGCTACTGGAGAGGTGTCTGCAAATTCAGGTACTGCTTCTGTAAACTTCAGGTGTCATTTCTCTGTTTCTCAGCCTCCACTGTGAAATGAAATCCTAGATAAGTTTTAGGGTTTAGATTTAAAATCTGTTTTATGTTTAATATTCTGTTCTGGGCTTAATGTCAAAGACGGAAAGGTGCTAAAGAAGAGTTATAGGACTTCACCTGATGGAAAGATATTGGCTTGGATATGTTTGAGAATATGTAGCTGTCCAGCTTATCTGAGTAATAATAATAAATAGGGAATCACAGAATTATCATTCCAATTGAAAATCTTTGGTAGGGCTTTTAAAGTGCAATCTGAGTGTCCTTGCATAGCAGCTGAGTTAAAAAGAGCTTTTTTGTTCTGGAAAGAGCCAGGAGGTGTAATATCATTCTCAGGAGACAGCAGTGCTCTCACCACGTGTAGCACAAGGCTGTCACTGGGATAGCACAAGCAGGCAAAGTCAAGCTCTGGCAGAAGTACAAAAGTCGCTGCCCTGCATACAGACTCCTGTGTCAGCTCAGCAGCTGTGGCTGCTTCAGAGAGGCTGTAGGAGCCACGTGGCTCCAAAAGGAGAGAAAGCAGAATTGGGCAGTTCTGATGCAAGCTGAAGAATGAGTGGGGTGTTTCAGCCAGAGCCTGACCAGCTCTGAGTGACAAGAGCAACTGAAAGCTTAAGGATAATTAATCAGCTTTGCATCTTGTTGTGCATCTTTATGTGTTAGATTTCCTCCTTCAGTGACCATGCTGAGAAAGGGTGCCTCCTTTCATGGCACCCTCATTCCCTCCATTCTCTTTCTACCTCCTCATTTGTTCCTTTGTCCTCCAGTTCCTCCAGGCCAAGACCCAGCAGCCGTAGCCAAGACAAGAGCTCTGACCATGCAGGTAGGTACAGGGCATGTCTGTCCTAAAATGACCACTAGAATCTGGACTATGAGGTGACATTTGGAAAGCTTGGTTCAAACCCATTCATTTGAACATTCCTTAAAATTCCTTTCAATTCCTTGATGGGCTCAGTGGACTCTCTCAAAGCCCAGTCTTTAGGAGGGTTCTCTGGTGGTGCAGTGAAAATTCCGCCAGTGTGAAGTGTTGAGTGGCAGGAGATGGAATGGTAACTTGGGGCCCTGGAAATGCAGTGCAGGAAAAGGAAACATGAAAAGGAAACGTTCCTCTCCATGCTGTTTAGAAGATTCCAGGAAATGTGTGCCATGAAATCTGGAGTTTCAAATGGTTTAGGTTTGCATTGTGGCCTCTGT